TGTATTTTATCTCCTCTGTGTGGCAAAAGCTTAACCCTGAGGGAATTTGTTGAGTGATAGTAAAAGAAATTGCACACTTCTGTGGATAGGACCCATTGTCACTTGTTGTTTTTAACCTCAACTAGGCCCTCAGCATTGCTCAGTGATTGTATTTTGTTTCAGTAATTCTTGTCTTCTGACTTCCAAACACCCATTGGACTGTTTCACTGGGATATTTGCTTAAACTATGCAGTGACTTCATTGTTTTTGAGATTAACAACATGGCTTATTGAAGCTGTTCATTTTCTGGCTCCTGCCTGTCCCATTAGCCTCATTTTCTGCCATTCACTACATTATAGCCATGTTGAACATTATACAGCTGAGTAGCTGGGTTACGGACGCCTGCCACCATGCCTGGCTAATTTTTTTATTTTTAGTAGAGACAGGGTTTCACCGTGTTGGCCAGAATGATCTCAAACTCCTGACCTCAAGGGATCTGCCTGCCTTGGGCTCCCAAAGTGCTGGAATTACAGGCCTGAGCCACCGAGCCTAGCCCCCTGCCCCTTTAGATGGCTACACATGCTTTCCTCTTTGTCGCAACAATCTATGGCTTTGCCTTGTTCTATCCTAGAATATTAGGAGATAGCATTTGTTATAGGACTTGTCATTCTTTATTCTAACTGCTTCTTTTGTCGTCTTCTTTATAGATTATAGATTTCTAGAGGACTGGGGATATATATGTCTTGTCCTTTGTTGTATTTTGAATGCCTAACACATATCTGACATATAGTGGGCCCTCAAATTTGTTGACTGAAGAAATACTTATTTAGGTGGATACCTAGGAAAATTCAGAACAGTTATCCAAAATTCATTTCATTGTGTTTGAAATGGCATGCTTGTACTTGGATCAAAGATTATTTATCTTTTTATTCTGTGCTTTTTACCAGAAATAATTTAAGATAAAGGAATAATATATGTAGGACAGTAAATTGGAACTGGTAGTGGATATTATATACACATTGAGCATCCCTAATCCAAAAATCTGAAATTCGAAATGCTTCAAAATCTGAAACATTTTGAGCATCAACATGAATCTCAAAGGTCATGCTTAAAGGAAATGCTCATTGAAGCATTTCAGATTATGGAGTTTTGGATTGGAGATGCTCAGATGGTAAGTATAATGCAAATATTCCAAATTTTTAAAAAATTAAAAATCGGAAACACTTCTGGTTTGAAGCATTTCAGGAAAGGGATACTAAACCTGTCTATATTGGTATGTATAGGCATTGGTCTTATACATTTGTTAGAGGTGGCAGCACATCTTCAGGGGGCACTGTGGTAGAGACTGTCAATTGTCTTTCATTTCTTCTTCCTTTCCCTTCCCATGATAAAGTGCTTGATTGTTTTCTTGGGCAGATGGCCACTCTGAATAAAGACTAGATTTACTAGGTTGTTTTGCAGCTAGGTGTGGCAAAGTGACTGTGTTCTGGGAAGTTGAGTGTAAATGAACGTGTTACGTGTAACATATGTAGACCGAACGTGGAGCTGAAGAAGCTACCTTAGACCACAAAGTGCTTGTGGAGGCAAGTGTGACAAGATGGAAGGAACCTGAGCCCCTGATACATCATGGAGCACTAGCTAGCTTTAGGGAACTACGGTGGATTTTTGCTTGAGAGAGAAATAAATAACTATATTATTTAAGCCATTGTTATTTTGGATTTCAGACACTTGCAGCTGAACCTATACAACTGCTAAAACTTCTTTGACAAATGGATTGTGTACCCTGCTGGGAACTCGTTCCTACTCTCCTCCTGGTGGGGATATGATTGCCTCTTAGGCAAATGCAGATCACCAGCTTAATATGAGTTATAAAGGCACCACAACAGACTTTTTGTTCCACATCTTCTTTGAATTTGGGAATGTGTGCTATAAAAAGGAAATAAAAGTAAACAAAAGAAAGTGCATAAAATCAACAAAGAACTTGAGTAGGAGAAGGGAGGTCCTATGCAGTAAAGAATTTAAAAGCAAGATACCTTCCTTAAGTCACTTGACAAATCACTTGGCTCCAGAGATAAAGTTTGATGTATACATCTATTTATTTAACTAAAACCTACTCCAATAATCTGCTAATTCACCAGTAAACAGATTTTAAAATTTAGCTTTACTCCTCCTCTCAAAATTAGAGGATAAGCGTATCAAACATCATTTTAGAAAAAAAACCTCAAAACCTGGTTGTAACAATCTAATTCTTAAATCTAATTCCTTAGCAAGTTCTCCGTAAATCTTAGCAGTACTGAGGATATTTGGTATGCAAAGGGTACTTTTAAATAAGTAGATTTATTTATAAATATAGGAAATAATCACTATAAAAACGCTTGTCAAAATATTTTTTCTTAACATGTTGGCAGTACATAGCAAGTTTTTGAAAAAGTTCGTATGCTGTGACTTAGATATTTTGTTTCGAGAAGTCATTGAGGATAAAAGGAGGGGAAAGTAATTATGTTTTACTTAGAAATATGAATTTTTATCCAAAATAAGATGATTAAATTTTGACGTAGCCTTAATTTTATGCAACCATTAAAAACAGTGCTTTGGAAAATTAATAATATGGTAAAAGTAATTGGTCAGGATGTATTTAGTGTGATGGAGTGTAGAAAAGAATAAAGGGTTCAGTAAGTGTTTTGAATGCATCAGTGAATCCTAGTATATATATGATAAGTACTTCATAATGGTGAACAAAAGATAAACTCTACAGGAAATAAATGGTTTTGAAGCAACTGGATAGGCATCTTTAAAAAATAATGTTAGCTCCCTGTCTCACACTGTATAATCAAGATGAATCCCAATGTATCATAGAGGTAAATGTAGAAAGAAAGAATCACAAAATTCCTCAGATTCAGGTAAGACCTTGCTATTATGCAAAATCCATGAAAGAAAAAATTGATCAAATTTTCTGCATGAGAAAAACAATAACAAACTTCTGCATGGCATTAAACATTATAAAGCAGTGGTCCCAGGGACTGGTTAGTGGAAGACAGTTTTTCCATGGACCAGGGCAGGGGATGGTTTCAGGATGAAACTGTTCCACCTCAGATCACCAGGCATTAGATTATCATAAAGAGTCCACAACCTAGATCCCTCGCATGCACAGTTCACAGTAGGGTTTGCACGCCTGTGAGAATCGTGCTGCCACTGATCTGACAGGAGGCAGAGCTCAGGCGATAATGCTTGCTTGCTCATTGTCCACCTCCTGTTGTGCATCCTGTTTCCTGACAGGCCACGGACTAGTACCGGTCTGCAGCCTGGGGTTGGGGACCTTTGTCATAAAGCCAAGAGACAATTGAAACACAAAGTTGTTTACAGTTCAATTGTAGGCAAAGAGGTCAACCCTCTGATGTGTAAATAATTTGTAAAACTCAGTAATTAAAAGACAACCAAATGGAAAAAAAATCAGCGAAGTATATGAGCAAACAGGTCACAGAAAATGACATGAAAAATTTTTAACCTCACATGCGTAAGAAGTATACAAATTAAAATACACCGAGATGCCAATTTTCAACTTTCCCGAAATTCTAATTTTCTGTCATCCTGACTTATCTTGTCTGTATGTATATAGATACTCTTATGGAGTGATGGTAAGAGTATAAATTATTTTAATTTTTATGGAGTGCACTTTGGTAATAGCTATCAAAATTGTAATAATTTATGCATTTGAGTGAGTAGCTTGACTTTTTGAAATGTATGTTATAGATGGACATGTGTGAAATGACATATGCAAGATTGTTAATTGCAGCATTTTGTAACAGCAAAAAAATTGTAAACAACTTTAGCATCCATCAGTAGGGGAGTGTTTGAAAATATTATGGTGTATTTATGTAATGAAATGTTAAGCAGCTTCAGAAGAGTATGAGGAACCTTCTTATGTCTGATGGATAAAGAGCTCTAAGACAGATTGTTAAATGGAAAAAGCTAAGCTTAGAACCATGTGGGTAATACATTCTATGTGTTCAGAAGGTTTGGGAGGAGAATCTATAGTCATATTTGCATGTACATACATAAAACATTATCTGGAAGGACATACAAACTGTTAATAATGTGTGTATATGTTCATGTGTGCATATATGGAAAACTGGATGTGTCAGGGCTGGGCAGAGCTGCCTTCGTGCAAATTAGAAAAGGGCACTGTTTCCTCAACAACCTCTACTTCTGTCTCTTGAAAAATTATTATATTATATTGATTTTGTTAGCACAAGGTACTTGGCAATCATCCACCAGAAAATTTTAATGAAAATAGATAATATTGAAGGATTTCTTTTTTGAGGTTCTGCACGAAGTTTTTCATTATATTGAATTAAGCTTTTTCTGTAGGAAATTTAACATAATCTTCAGTTCATTTATAATTTCCTAATAATAGTTTTGAATAGTAATAAATAGAAAAGTTATGGTTTTCTCTTAATAATAGTTTAACTGGTGTTAGAAATATTTGATTTTGTTAAGATCACCTTGTAGTTTAAGGTAAATTTTTATTATTCATTAAGGGTGGGATATAACTTTTGATAGATGTACCTCTGGATTTTTTTGGAACTTTGAGTCATAACCTGAAAATATTTAATTATTTAGAAATATTAGATTAAGTAAAAAAGTGAAATACAAGACTACATACTTAATATCGTTCTTCTTTTACTGAAAATTTATATCTATGTGTAGGATTTTTTATGTGTATGCCATACATTTATTTTATCAGTTTTTAGTAAAATAATATCTGTATATACATACAGAGTTTTGCATTTATGTGCATGTGTGTGTATGTCTTAGGGAAAAAAGGCTAGAAGAAATTAGACCAAGTTGTAATATCTCTCAGTAGTAGGATTTCAGATGATTCAAAAAATATTTTCTTTATGTGTTTTTGTATTTTCCCACTTTTTACAGTGATTATGTATTATATTACATTTATGGTAAGTGTTTTAATGTTGTTTCTCTAAGGTTTTGTACTGAAGCTTTTTTCCCCCCTCTTCATGAAGAGTTTTTCAGCTTATATCTTTAATGGATACTGGATTGCCTCGGTGTTCTAATGAGAAAATAGAGCTTGCAATTCTGTGGTTCTTGGATCAGTTTCGTAAAACATATGTTGGTGATCAACTTCAAAGAACCTCAAAGGTAGGTTTTTACTACTAGAGAGTTTAAAACATGTTATTGGAGATGAAGAAAGATGTACATATATAACTGAATGATATATTTGGGAAATTTCTACATAAGATGTGTAATTGATTAATCTATTGATGAATTGGTATTGAAGTGCAATGTAAAATCAAGTTGCTTGTTTTATACCTAATTTACCATTTTCTTTAAAGATTGAGTGACAAGAGAGGTAGTGAATATGTTTTACATGGATAGTCATTAAATAGTTGAGATTATTTTAAACACTAATCAATTTTGCCTTATTGTATTTCAAGACTGAAAGCATAAGATTTGCTGTTTTAGTAGTTCCAGGGTTTTTTTGACACTTATTTATTTATGTGGCTTCCAGTATGTTTCACTAATTTCTTGGCATTTTTACATGATTAAATAACGAGGACTAGGAAAATTAGATGTGTCCTTAAGAGACTGCAAATAACTTTAATGTTAGGAATACTCATAGTATGATAATTGAATGTTTAGCATCAGCAAGTTAAGATGACTTGATCTTAAAGTCTAATGAAAGATTATTAAGGGCATTTATGTGAACCCTAAGCAGATATTTAGTAGAATTAGATACTGACACTGAGTAAAATCTTCTCCATAAGAAGTCCTAAGGATATTCTCATTTCTTTTGAACTTACAGTTTGTTTTAGTGATGTTGTAGGATTTTTTATTTGAAAATTCTAAAATAAACTTTTTATACTCATTTTAGCTGTTTTGTCTTAGGAAATTTAACTTAACCTTCAGTTTACTTAGGATTTTCTGATAATAATTGTGTAGTAGTGTGAAAAAAATATTTTGTTTGATTTTAAGATTATCCTTTAGTTTATTTCAGGTAAAATATTCTTTACTTTTTTAAGGAAATGATGTCACTTGATAATTTCTTTCTCAAATATATTATGATATTGTCATTTAGGATTAATATCAATAAAATTCTCTTAGAATTTGGCTGCCACCGAATGAGACCATTTGGAAGAAAAAGAGTAGCTAGAAATAAATGTTTTAGGTTGTCAGTAAGACAAATTAGAATCAGACAATAATTACTTACTGTAAAATTTATATAACAGAGTGCCTTTTTTATAGTCCCAGATGTGATACTTGAAGATTGAATATAAATCAAATGATGATAAATTTTCTTGTTTAATATGTCTAGAGAGTATCTTTGCTTTTTGCAAAAGGGTTGCCCTCAAAATATTGCTAATACAGTATCCATTTGGTGTTAAGTCTTAAATCAAAACAGTATAATATGGAGTAGAAAAACCTAATTATTGTTTTGAAGGCACCTGGAAGGAAATATGTAAAATGAGACTAGTTGTTTTAGGGCTATGGGATTTTGGATTTTCTTTGAAAACTTCTAATGTAAGATAATTGTGAAAAAAGCAAATTACAGATTACTTTTTCGTTTTTGAAAAAGCTTGCACTTTAGGAAAAAGTAAACATGTCATCAGAATGGTATTGACTCCTTTATTGTAACTTTAACATTGTTGGTGTGTGTATCTTACCCTATTAAAAGAAGTTAGTCCTAAGGTGACAAAATTTCTAAGGCATTTCTATTGCATAACCCCAGAGTGAAACTAAATCTTCCTACTTTCTGATTTCTCTGACTTACCTGCTAATCTGTCTTAATAGAAATCATCTTCGGAAGTCCTTAATTATGTGTCCCATCACTGTCCTAGGAACTCTTCATACTAGCTTTATTCCTTACTAGGAACTCTTCATACTAGCTTTATTCCTTACTGTAGGCTTGCAAGGTTGGTGTTAATGTCCTCATTTTACTAATGAAAGAACAGACTCTCTAAGACATTTCATAAGTACTATAAAGTACTATATATACAGTTTTTTTAGCAACCAACTATGTAAAGAAGAGTGGGTAGAACATATTTCTTGGTGGGTGTATTGTCTGATTCCAAATTGTGGCAAAAAGTGGGAGAGTACTAGGTAATAGCAAATGAATGTTTAACAATTAATGTGTGCTTATTTTGTACCAGGAACTGTGCTAAGCACTTTTAAGCAGTCTCATTTAATTGCATCATATAGAGTATGACTTCAAGGTTCTTCCCAATCTCTCTTCTGCATACGTCGCCAGCTTCATACTTCAGTACACCATACTTGCACTGTATACTTTATATGTGGTAAACTTATTTCAGGTTCTTCAACAGTCTGTGCTCTCTGTTAATTCCAGGTATTAGAAGAATATGTTCCCTGTGCTTAACTATGCCTAATGTTCCATTTTTGGAACACTGAGCATGCAGGAGTTATTTATATCCTGCTGCTCAAGGTCATCACCAAGGTCTGATTGCAAAAATTCAAAAAATTCCAACCTCAGGCATAAATGAGTTAAGACACTATCTTTTTTAATCCAGCTTTCATTTCTCTGCCTTATTCTGCCAACTTCTTATTGTCGTCAGAGACCCCATCCTTTGGGATGCCCTTTTTAACTCTCAAGTTGTGAGTGTTCTTTTTGTCTGTGTTCTGTAGCACCCATTTGTTCCCTGTTTTAATATTTATTACACTGCTTTGTAATTACTTGTTAGTGAATAGACTATAATTTTATATAGTGTATATATACTATAATTTATAGTATAATATACTATAATTTATAATATAGTGAATAGACTATTTCTGCCTTGTTTATTGTTATCGTCTGAAAGAGCCTGGCATGTATGTATTGTTTGTGTGCTTTCAACTTACTGTTGAATGTGTGTATTTAGTAGAATTCTATAGGAATTTGGCCTAGATCTCATGTATAATACTTTCAGGTAATAAAGGATATATTCTTGAGTTGGAAAATTACGCTGACTTGAGTGAAATTATTCAGCAGTTATAAATAAAGTATGATATTAAGCATCTTGAACATTTTATAAAAGCCTGTATAGACAGCAGAATATAATTTATAGAAATAAGTTATTTAGGAACCAAGGTGGAATTACTAAAATGTCCTAAGTGATGTATGTGGTAGAAGTCCTATGCCTGAGAAAAATGTTGTAAACAGTAGCCATAGGCATTTATTGAGCAATAAGTCTGTGTCACATATTTTGCCCAGGACTTGAAAGGCATTATATAATTTCATTCTCACAAAATGCTATGAAAATAGCGATTTTGTTAACATCCTCCCTTTCTGTAGACATGGAAATTGAGGTTTAGAGTGGTTAACTAATGCATTTAAGTGGTTCAACCTGGATTTGAACCCTAGGCACCTGACTGCAGAGCCTGAGCTGCCGACCACTTTGTTATATTGCCTCCTTTCTATTGGATCTTTCCACTGGGATGTTGAATGGGCCCTTCAAACTTACTTCCAAAAAAGAACTCAGTATCTTTTAAAACTCTCTCTTCCTAGTTCTCCTATGTTAAAGAAGAATGACATTGAATTTCCGTTTTGTACCTCTTGTATCCAATCTGTCACCTAATCCTGTGAATTTTATTTTCAGAATATCTCTCAGGTGTACTCCTTTCTTCTGCCCCTTTCTTTTTAGCCTTACTCTCACTGCTTGTCATTTCCCATGGAATTTCAGAAGTATTCTACTTGCCCTCTTTGTTTCCATTTTGCTTCTCCCCACTCTAGTCTATTTTCCATACTGCCACCAGCGTATTTTTTATTAGAAAACCAAAGAGAATAATGTAATGAACACTCATATGCCCATCGTTCAGTTTTGTCAAGTCTTAATGCTTTGCTATATTTGCTTTAGATCTGTATATTTTTGAGTTAAACATTAATAATCCTGTTGCTGCTCCGATTTTATTTCTCTAGCTTCTTGCCCCAAAGTAACCACTGTCCTAAATTTAGTATTATTCTCATCCATGATTTTGTACTTTTTCTACATTTCTATGTGTTTATAAACAAAGCATAGCACTATTAACTTTATATAAAAGTATTATGCAGTTTGGATCTTTAGGAATTCTTTTTTTTTTTTTTTTGAGGTGGAGTTTCACTTTTGTTGTCCAGGCTGGACTGCAATGGCGCGATTTTGACTCACTGCAATCGCCGCCTCCCAGGTTCAAGCGATTTTCCTGCCTCAGCCTCCCAAGTAGCTTGGATTACAGGCATGCGCCACCATGCCTGGCTAATTTTATTGTATTTTTAGTAGAGATGAGGTTTCACCATGTTGGCCAAGCTGGTTTCAAACTCCAGACCTCAGGTGATCCACCCACCTTGGCTTCCCTAAGTATTGGGATTACAAGCATGAGCCACCACACCTGGCTGGAATTCATCTTTTTTGATCACTATTTTTGAGATTTATTCATAATGACACATATAGTTCTAATTATTTTAATTGTTGAGTGGTATTCAAGTGGATTACTATGCCATTATACAGTCATTTTATTGTTGATATGCTAGATCGTTTCCAGATTTTCAGTTTTTCCAAACAATACTGCAGTAAATATTCTCATATCTGCCTCTTCATGCATATGTAAGAGTTTTGTGAAGATAAATAGTAGAATTGCTGGGCTGTAAAATGTATATATCTTAAGCTTTACTAGATATTATTAGGTTGCCTTCCTATGTGTTGTAACAGTTTATTTTCTCTCGCCCAGCAGGGTAGGTGTCTGTTTCTATTGTCATTATATGTGCTTTTGTCAGACTTTAAGTTTGCGCAGTCTTTAAGAAAAATTTTTCCCGTGCAATTTTTCTGCTTAAATTTTTTTATTGGTTTCTTGTTACTTATAAAATGAATTCTTGCTCATGATGAAACTTTGCCTACCTTTGAAATCATTTCTTTTCATTTCACTTTATGACATGATTCATATGTGCTGCTGCCTTTTTTCCTTTGGTTTATTCCTGTTCATTACTCAGTGAGTATTGATAAGTAACCACTATGTATTAATGCCAAGGATACCAAAATGAATAGGATCATCCATCTCCCCTGTAAGTTTTTTGTTAAAGGGACCATGGGCAAATAAGGGAAAAATTAGTGATTCTTGTGTGCATTCAAACAGCATATGATGAAATGATGACCAGACAGACTATTAAATACATACTG